TCTTTCTCGTTTCATGGGCTGGGTGATCTCCGGCGATTTTTCGTAGAGGGGGTTCTCTTCATGGGCCTGAAGAACATCAACAGGTCGATTCTTGGCCTTTGGGTTTGGCGAGTTTGCCTTGGTTCGTTGTTGAAATGTGGAAGTGGATCTTGTTCCAGCGATACCAAGCGGTTCTTGGTGCGGATGTTGGGTTCGTTGTCAAGAGGGGCAGTCACCAACTGCCTAGGGCTGTTGACATATCTGTCTCTCCCGGCAGTCGAAGAATCCCTCATCATCACACTGGTTTTTACCAGATCTCTTGGTTGGGGTGCATTCTGGGTTGGTTGCTCCCCAGAATGAGAGGCCGGCACTGGTACTGGCATGATGTTGGGGGGCCTGTCATCCATGCTGGTCCTGCTCGTTCAACGGGAGCTCGTCTCTGCCTTTTCTCTGGGCAGGTATTCACCCAATGCCCTACTTGTTTGCATATCGGGCACGGCGCTGGTCTGCCTTGCATCAAAATCTGGACCATAAATCTTTTAATGCCCGGTGTCTCTATTTTGGCAAAATGGGGGATTTCTTTGTGGGGAGTGCAGAGCGCTCTCCTTCTTATTCCCTTGCCTGGGGCCTGGTTCACCTCGGGGTTAGTGTCTCCAGTCACCTCTCGTACGAGATCGATTACTCCATCTCTGCTTATAGTAGTAGGGACCCAGTTGAGGTCGAGGGTAGTCTTCTCCATCCTTAGAAGGAAAACCTGGATAACGGTTGCATCCGTGGGTGCTGACAAATACTTCCTGTGGAGGCTGTCTTTAACGGCCTGTGGACAGTTGTTGTGTACGTCCAGGTAAAATCTTAGAGGAGCCTTACAGGTCCTTTATGCTACCTGCACTGACCCCCACCTGGGCCTATCAGAGTCGACAAAAGATAGTCATAGTTTGCCTTCTTATATGATTCAGGTCCCCTCAGTGTGATAACAAAAGTGTCTGGCTTGAACAGGTCAAGATGAGTGAACTTGGACGTTGCAATTTTTATTGTTGGTATGTAAGCCATGAAAGGTTATTGAAAACAGTGTTAATACTCACAAAAAGTTTTGAAAATTCAGCAAGTTCCGGAAATAAACAAAAGTTAATCACAAAGTTAATAATGCTTAGATTGAAACATCACTAAGCAAAAGTAAATTGTTATCAATGACACAGTGTGCAATTCCAAAGTTCGTTCGAAGTTGCGTTTAAGAAAAACATGGCATAAATTGATTAAAATTAACACTCAGAATGAAAACACGGCATAAATGACTCAAAAAACTCAGAATGCTGCTGACTTTCGGGGGCATGTTGTCTACTCTCGAACGTGTGCGTGCGTAGTAGAAATTGGTAAATGTGCTCCTCTGTATGAGAGATCGGACATCTACAGCCCTGGATCTCTTTGATAATTGTGTATTCCGGTGCACATGGTTGGCCATGTTCGCTTATAGTTGGTCCATGCTGCTAAGGGCTGTGACGTACAAGGTCCGACAATTAGGTAATGAGAATTATTCCATAAAAATTAAAATAACAGCTGGAAGATATAACCGGTATTTAATTCTAACTAAGCTCCTATAATGCATACAAACAAAACTGCCATGGAGAAGGAAATATATGTTAATGAGGAAAGATTGGAAGTGGTGGAAAATTTCGAATATCTTGGGTCACTGGTTACCAACAATGGTGACACAATGAAAGAAATTAAACGGCGACTATCAATTGCTCTTCAAAGACTAAAACAACTGAATAAATTATGGAATTGTACAGATAGAATTACAAAGGTCAGATTTTTAAGAGCATGCATCTTTCCCATTTCAACATACGCCTGTGAGACCTGGACACTTACTAAACAAGCGGAACAGCGCATAAATGCATTTGAATATAAATGTTACAGACAGGTTCTAAGAATATCTTGGGTAAAGAAAAGAACAAATGCATCCATACTTCAAGAGCTGAATATTGAAGAGGGTTGGCTAGTAAAGACAATAAAACAAAGAAAATTGAAATATTTTGGTCACTTGAAACGTCATGGAAGTCTAGAGAGAACAATAATGGAGGGGTATATGCCTGGGAAGAGAGGAAGAGGAAGGCCAAGGAGAAGATGGGTGCAGGATGTGGCAGATGATCTCCAGATGGGTGTATCAGACGCAGGACATCTTGCTCAGGATAGGAAGGTTTTCCGGAGGGTTGTTATGGCAGCGAGGTCCCGCGAGGGACATGCTACTGAATGAATGAATGAAGCTCCTTGTGTATTAATACAGCAAGTAGCACGATCTAACAAACACTGGAACGAACTCTGTAGTTCGTCTGTTGTCATAGTCCTTACAGTCGATGTTACGGCCCTTAGGATGTCATCAATATCGTCAAAAAAGCGTCCTTTCAATGGAAACTTTAATTTTAGGAATAGAAAATAATCACAGGGAGACAAATCTTGGGAATAGGCTGGAAGGCTGAGAACATACATTTGTTTCTGGGCCAAACAATTCTTGCTTTGATGTCTCTTGGGTACTCAACCCGCTGATGTTTTTGGTCATCAGACAACGAATATGGTTCAAACCGGCAAGCAATTTTTTTCTTGCCAAAAACTTGCACTAAAATGTTATGAATGGACTCTCTGTTAACACCAGATTCATCTGCCATCATCCTCACACTAAAACAATGATCTTTTTGTATCCATTCTCTGACTTTTGCAATGAGTTCATCGTTACGAACATAAATTTGGCGTCCAGGTCTAGGTGCATTAGTAATAATTTCCACACAACTTTTGAATCGTGAACACCACACGAAATTTGCGCACGAGAAAAACCATTATCCCCATGAACTCGTCGCATCAAATTAACTGTTTCAAAGGCGCTTTTTCTGAGTTTTGAAAAGAATTTATTGCTAGCTTTTTGCTCCATGCTGATTACATAACAGTGCACCTCTGAAAAGGTCAACAAAATGTCGGCTTGTTTGTTGCCTGCTTATCGATTAGTGATGAAAAGTTGCCAGATCACAGATGATTGTTGCCTCTTTAAATTCTATGCTTTGCTTCACAGATGGCATTTATTTTCGACGTGGCCATAATAAAATCAGTCTCATTACTTAATTGTCGGACTTTGTATTGCCAGTTGCAAACACATCAAACAATTAATAATTACACAGCAGATAAACTTCCCTGCAAAATCCAGTGGTGGAACACATTGCCTTCATGTGTTGGAAGTGGTAAGAGGTTAGATTAAAGCGATGAAAACCGATACAATAGGCAAACTTCTTGTCTTGAAATATTCACGGTAGCTAGCCTTGCCATTTCCGAAGAGGAAAACTGTACACAATGTATAAGGTAGACATCGGGATGTGCGAGATGTGAGGCAGACATTTTTATGCGAGATGTTAGGCAAACACCAATGTATAAGATGTGAGGTGAGAAGTGAGTTAGACATCAGGATGTGTGATGCAAGAGGTAGACATCATGGTATATAATGTGACAGGCAAACATCGGGATGTGTGATGATATAAGAAGCAGATGTGTCTGACAGACTGGCCTGTACTAGTGAAATCAATGTAACAGGGAAGTGAAGCGCTGGTTGTCAGCAGCACCTCTCGTCTACAGTTGACACAAATCTGAGATTGTCATGTGTTTATTACATCAACAAGTCCACCACATCACAACAATACCGACATAACAGAACTCATACAAACATAACAAAACTTATACAAATATAATAGAGATCATACAAACAACAAAACTCATACAAACATTACAGAACTCATACAAACACAACAGAGCTCATATAAATATAACAAAGCTCATACAAACATAATAGATTTTCATAAAAAACATAACAGAACTCACACAAACATAAAATTACAAAACTCTTTAAAAAAAACTACACACATATTAGAACTCATACAAACAGAACAAAACTCATACAAACATAACAGAACTAATACAAAAATAACTTATAAAAACATAACAGAGCTCATACAAACACATGTGTCCACATCAGATAACTACAGCATCTTAATATTGATAGCAGGTACACACTCGCACACACCACATCAAGCAGACATCCCGAATATCACTCAGCCAAATACATCGAAATTCATGACAACATTTGCCAATCTCCCATACACCTTCAATCCCTACTAATCTTCATACCGTATCCATTCATTCTTCACTGCCTGTCTGTGGTACTTACTCATCTACGTGACAGACACATGCAGGCACACGTACATATGAACTGACAAATAAGTTCACAAGCACATAGATGAGCAGAATGTCACGCTTCGAGGTTATTTTTGCTTCCAACAGCACTTTGCTAATGCAGTTTCTACATAAGGATGGTAGCCTACAGTTCTGCTGTCTGAGTTTGGTGCTTAGTTGCAGCACTGTGAGCTGTGTTTTCCCTGTGGAATGTCTTTCATTTGTGCAGCCATTGTTTTGTGGTATTCAGCCTGGCAGTAGCCTGTTTACCTGTGAGTTAGTGAAATACCTTTTGTAATAATTCTACGTGTGTGAAGTTACAGTAGTAACCAACTTATCGTGCCCCATCACTTCCATCAACCACAAACTGCATTTCTGGTGGCAACTGTTGGCTTTAGCGCCTCTAGCGACTGAAATTTGCATTTACTGCGCGCATATATTTCTGAATTGTGCCGGGACTAGTTGTCTGTTCATCAGTTTTTCAAACTCGGCAATGAGGGAGATTTCATTTGATTCACACTGGCTCAGGAACGGAGCAAGTATGGGGAAACCCGACTGCAGTAATGCTGAAACCTCGACTAAGACTAACAGATGAGCCTCACTACCACGGCTCAGGGCCTGGAAGCATCTCAGTGTATTGCTCTCAATCCCCAACAGATGGTATCAATTCTACCATACATGTGATCCATCAGGGTGAGGACTGGTCAGATACAGATTCTGTTTTAGCCAATCCCAGACACACAAATGAGCTGCTCAATGTGGTCCTGCACATGCTCAACCCCCCCTCCCACCACAAGGAACACAGAAGACACATGTTAGGGTGTAAACTTTAAATTGACAGGTGTCACCCTGTCAAATGTCCGTGCCAGGCCCAGATTAAATTGGTCAGTTTGGGCTATACTGTCCATGCTGTCATCAATGTTCATCTCTGACGTGGAACCGGCCATGTCTTGTCCTCGACGTGTCTGAATAGTTCTCAGCAAAGCCTTGGCTTCCTCTCGCGTCTGGGGGTACAAACAGACAGACATATAATCAATTATGGCAGCAATCTCTTCTTTCCTTCACATAATCAATAAATAATACTTTTAAATATAATGGAAGACATAGCAAACGTCTAAACATATTAAATACTAGCTGTACCCGGCCACGCGTTGCTGTGGCCCAGAATGGTGAAATGGAGAGGAAAGAAAATAGTTCTCAGCTAACAGTGTCCGTCATACCCCCCCCCCCCCCCCCCCCTCCTTCCCCCCCGATGCAGTCATATCTCCCTCTCCGAAGGGTTGACAAATTATCCATGGCGACATTATTAAAATAGAAATAGTTAGGAGATAAGAACTTTAAAATAAAATGATAAGCTCTCTCAGCTAACTGTGTTTGGCAAATCCCCCCCCCCCCCCCCCCCACACAAATCCCATTTTCCTCTCCGTAGGATTGAAAAATCATCACCTGACGAAATTATTAAAATTGAAATAGTTAAGAAATGAGAACTTTAAAATAATATGTTAAGCTCTCAGCTAACTGTGTCTGGCATCCCCCCCCCCCCTTCCAATCATATCATCTTCTCCGAAGGATAGGAAAGTCACCGTGTAACGAAATATTGTAACTGAATTGAGCATTGCATCCGTGTCCATCCAAACTTAAATAGGTAGCATTAACTTGTACAGAGAAGTAAATGTAGCCAGTGTAACAGCTACCACATCACCCATCCAGTACCAGTACTACTGCAACCACAACCACCACCACCATCACAACAACAAAAACTGTCATTACAGTCTGTGTGGGTCGGTGTAGAAAAAAGGAGTTAGCGCCGCATGCTGTCGCCACGGACTATTTAGTTTGATTTTGCCCCTGACATAGGAAAAAAAAACTTCATCACATAACCAGTGATGGAACCCACAGTGAAAATTGCACTATACTCACGAATAGCGGAAAAAAATACCCCGCACCCGTCATCTCTCCCTCTCCGAGGGAAGGATTTTTAACTGACCTTGGCATCCGTGTTCACCCAAACTAAACTGGACTGTAAGCCGTCTTAGTTAACAGTTTCTGTCATCGCCGAATAGTTTTTGATCGAAAAGCATCGCATGGAGGCTAATTAGGACTTAACTGAAATCGGATGTCTTTGGGCAAAAGGCGCAGATATCGCAGCCTAGCTGTAAACCACAACACAACGTTGTCTTCCTCTCTCGTTGTCTTCCTCTATCTCTCCTTCCACATATCTTTCCAGTGGTCACCACATGTTCTATTTCCCCTCTTCTCATAACATGGCCCAAAAATGATGACTGTCTCCTTCTGATGTCTGTGATAAGTTGTCTTCGCGCTCCCGCCTCTTTCAAAACCTCTTGGTTGCTCTTTCTGGCTGTCCAAGGTATTCTTCTGTAAAACCACATCTCTGAGGCCTCAAGAAATTGTTTGGCCTGCCTACCGATTGTCCAGGATTCACAACCATATGTTAAAACTGGATGTATGTAGCAAGCAAGAATTCTTTTTCTAACTTTCAATGGCAAGGATATATTGCACAATATGTTTTTCATTTTATAAAATGCAGTTTTTGTCTGTCCTATTCTGTTTCTTATCTCAGTTATGCATCTTCCATCTGATGTTATCCATGTGCCCAGATACGTAAATTACAGATTACAAGCCTCTTCATAAAAGATAAAAGTATTTTAGATATAGCACAAATTTCCCCTAGATTTATTACAACTACTAGGCTTTACTGTGGTTAGAAAAGTGCACATTCTGGTGCCAGTATTGGATATTTTGATGATAATGTTTCCTATTACTTGATGAAGGAATGAAATGTTGCATGAGAGAAGACAGACTAGAAAGGCAGAATGTTAGGCTGGCCTGCCTGCCCAGTCTTTAACCCATGGGAAATAAAGTTTGTTCATTTATTCTGTCATTTTTCCCTGGGTTGTTGTTATGCTGAGGCTTCAGCTTCCACCACGGTTGAGTTTTCCACGTCACTGTGCCGCTGTCATGTTGAGGCTTCAGCTTCCACCACTGTTGAGTTTTCCACGTCACTGTGCCGTTGTCAAACTGAGGCTTCAGCTTCCACCATTGTTGAGTTTTCAAGGTCACTGGTCAATCTGGTATGACTGAGCAGATAAACAATGTCTCAGCTGTTCTTGTGCACCTATGAATGCTTGCTAGATACTTGCTGATGTGTAGAATCTTGCAGTCATCACACTGAGACTGTGAAAGTATCTCACCTGCTCCTGTATCCCTGTGTTAATCATGCTTTGTAAAATGACTGTGACAATAAGGACAGTCTTCGAGATGCTAATAAGAAACAAGCAGGTCACACTAGCTGTACTTACCTCGGTGAACTCTGTGCACTTTTGAGCGGCCAGGTAGGCTGTGTCCCAGTGTTTATGCTCCATGTGATAGGTGGCCAGGTACAAGTATGCCCGACTCAGATCTTCATGATTGTGGATCTGAGTATTGATCAAAGATAGCCGGTGATTACCACAACAGGGCAGAATAAGATCAAAACAAAACACAAACATTTCTCCCATAAACTGCTTAAAACTATTTTAACTAATGGTTCACATATTATAGGGACAGTGGTGATACCCGAAGAAAGGAACTAGTGAGACAGTGGTGACAGAGAAGCAAAGGAACTAGTGGGACAGTGGTGACAGAGAAGCAAAGGAACTAGTGAGACAGTGGTGACAGAGAAGCAAAGGAACTAGTGGGACAGTGGTGACAGAGAAGCAAAGGAACTTGTGAGACAGTGGTGACAGAAGCAAAGGAACTAGTGGGACAGTGGTGACAGAGAAGCAAAGGAACTAGTGGGACAGTGGTGACAGAGAAGCAAAGGAACTAGTGAGACAGTGGTGACAGAGAAGCAAAGGAACTAGTGGGACAGTGGTGACAGAGAAGCAAAGGAACTAGTGAGACAGTGGTGACAGAGAAGCAAAGGAACTAGTGGGACAGTGGTGACAGAGAAGCAAAGGAACTAGTGAGACAGTGGTGACAGAGAAGCAAAGGAACTAGTGGGACAGTGGTGACAGCGAAGCAAAGGAACTTGTGAGACAGTGGTGACAGAAGCAAAGGAACTAGTGGGACAGTGGTGACAGAGAAGCAAAGGAACTAGTGGGACAGTGGTGACAGAGAAGCAAAGGAACTAGTAAGACAGTGGTGACAGAGAAGCAAAGGAACTAGTGAGACAGTGGTGACAGAGAAGCAAAGGAACTAGTGGGACAGTGGTGACAGAGAAGCAAAGGAACTTGTGAGACAGTGGTGACAGAAGCAAAGGAACTAGTGAGACAGTGGTGACAGAGAAGCAAAGGAACTAGTGGGACAGTGGTGACAGAGAAGCAAAGGAACTAGTGAGACAGTGGTGACAGAGAAGCAAAGGAACTAGTGGGACAGTGGTGACAGAGAAGCAAAGGAACTAGTGGGACAGTGGTGATTCAAAGCTGATGTTAGAGAGGAGGGCTGCAATCACAGTTGAATGAGACTAGATATGAAGTCAGGAATCAAAGTTGGGGGACTTATTACGAACATCCTGGCATCTTGTCAGGAGCGAGATTTTATGTAGGCTTCCATTTATGCCGTGGCCGTTCCTAAGCGCTGTCCTATGTTCTAGGGATGTTTTGTTATTTTCAACCTTGAAAGCAGTCTATATTCCCAATTGTGAGCGGCCAGCCCATTCTATTTTCCACACTATCAGTGGCCGACAATGTGTGTGTGTTACAGCATTGTGCACCGGCTTTTCGTCGCTACGACTGCAACAAGAGATGCACTTGACAGAGAAAAGAAAACTAGTTGAACACTCGCTTGTGCGCTCACACACACATAACAGTTGAAAAAACTGAAGCTCTGTGTTGGCTGCCATGAAAGAGAGCTATGCCGTTTTTTGTCAGGCTTCAGACCAACGGCAGCGGGTTTTACCACAAGGTGTGTGTAGAGGTCAAAGGGGAAGGAATGCATATGCTAACCTTTAGAACACAGGACAGCTCATGCAATGGGCAGGGCATGAATGGGAGCCTACACAAAATCTTGTGCCTGGACATGAAGTCAGGAATCAGATCTGAATGAGATAGGATACAAAGGCAGGAATCAGAACTGAATGAGACTAGTTATATATGGCTGACACAATGACAACAGAGAGAGAGAGAGAGAGAGAGGGAGAGAGAGAGATGGGTGGGGAGAGGGAAAGAGAAAGAGAGAGGGAGGGGAAAGAAAGAGAGACAAAGAGCGCGAGGGGGGGGGGAGAGGGAGAGGGAGAGAGAAGGAGAGAGAGGGAGGGGAAAGAAAGAGAGAGACAGAGAGCGGGGGGGGGGGGGGGGGGGGGGGGGGGGGGGGGGGGGCTAGCATATCTTACGTCAGGCCCTTCCAAGCATTCATCTTTCATATGGCAGTTGCATGTTTAGAAATCAAACATATTTTGTTCATACATCAAATTAACTGCACAAATGTTAAAGAAAATAAAACAACAGCAGGAATAACAAATGCATACCTTCAAATATATATGCAAATACGCACACACACACTCTCCCTTACATACACACAGGCACATATACTGATGACGTGTACACAACATAAACAGGCATAAACACAATCACAGATTAAACACATACATACAGACCCAACACACATACAAACACACAAAACTGTCAAAACATGCAAACACAGACACAGTACTCTCACAGACACAACCAATAGACACAAACACAATATATATGCACTAAATACAAGCACATTATTCACAAACATATCACATACAACAGAAACAATATTCATACAGGAAACACAACGCTCACAGACACAACATACAGACACATACACATGCTCACAGACACAACATACAGACACATACACATGCTCACAGACACAACATACAGACACATACACATGCTCACAGACACAACATACAGACACATACACATGCTCACAGACACAACATACAGACACATACACATGCTCACAGACACAACATACAGACACATACACATGCTCACAGACAACACCCCACAGACACAACATACAGACACATACACATGCTCACAGACACAACATACAGACACATACACATGCTCACAGACACAACATACAGACACATACACATGCTCACAGGCACAACACCCCACAGACACAACATTCACAGACACAACACTCATTATTGACTACACAACAGCACAGAGAGAGAGAGAGAGAGAGAGAGAGAGAGAGAGAGAGAGAGAGAGAGAGAGAGAGAGAGAGAGAGAGAGAGAGAGAGAGAGAGAGAGAGAGAGAGAGAGAACACAAGCCTCACCAACATGCGGTCTGCCTGGCTGATGTACTCAGTATAAGCCTGACAAGCCTTGTCCTTCTCTCCAAGTGAGGAATACAGGCTGTGGATACAACCCCAAACACAATTTACTGAACAATGCTGTAAACTTGTGTCATCTTCTATCTGCTGTCATACAAGTGTTGTCAATCTTTGTTATCTTATATCTGTTGTCATACGAGTGTTGTAAAACTCTTATGTTCTATCTGTTGTCGAGCAAGTGTTTTCAATCTCTGTTATCTTCTATCTGTCGTCACAGTTTCAACCCATGTCATCACAGCATCATCCCATGTCGTCACAGCATCATCCCATGTCATCCCAGTATCAACCCATGTCGTCCCAGTATCAACCCATGTCGTCCCAGTATCAACCCATGTCGTCCCAGTATCAACCCATGTCATCACAGCATCAACCCATGTCATCCCAGGATCAACCCATGTCATCCCAGCATCAACCCATGTCATCACAGTATCAACCCATGTCATCCCAGTATCAACCCATGTCATCACAGTATCAACCCATGTCATCACAGCATCAACCCATGTCATCACAGTATCAACCCATGTCATCACAGCATCAACCCATGTCATCCCAGTATCAACCCATGTCATCCCAGTATCAACCCATGTCATCACAGTATCAACCCATGTCATCACAGTATCAACCCATGTCATCACAGTATCAACCCATGTCATCCCAGTATCAACCCATGTCATCACAGTATCAACCCATGTCATCACAGTATCAACCCATGTCATCCCAGTATCAACCCATGTCATCACAGTATCAACCCATGTCATCACAGTATCAACCCATGTCATCACAGCATCAACCCATGTCATCACAGCATCAACCCATGTCATAACAGCATCAACCCATGTCATCACAGTATTAACCATTGTCATCACAGTATCAACCCATGTCATCACAACATTAACCATTGTCATCACAGTATCAACCCATGTCATCACAGTATTAACCATTGTCATCACAGTATCAACCCATGTCATCACAGTATTAACCATTGTCATCACAGTATCAACCCATGTCATCACAGCATTAACCATTTTCATCACAGTATCAACCCATGTCATCACAGTATTAACCATTGTCATCACAGTATCAACCCATATCATCACAGCATCAACCCATGTCATCACAGCATTTACCATTGTCATCACAGTATCAACCCATGTCATCACAGTATCAACCCATGTCATCCCAGTATCAACCCATGTCATCCCAGCATCAACCCATGTCATCCCAGCATCAACCCATGTCATCACAGTAGCAACCCATGTCGTCACAGTATCAACCCATGTCGTCACAGTATCAACCCATGTCATCACAGTATCAACATATGGTATCGTAGTATCAACATGCGGCATCACAGTTCTTTTATCAATGTTGCCCAGATAAGTCAACCTGACCAACAGTTACCTGAAGTGTCGGAGACATGTAATCCCCTCAAAGTATATAAGCAATAACACACACATCTCAGAGGGCTAGTCTGAACAGTTCTACGCAGGAACCCCCACACACACAAACATGTGTGTCTTACCTGGCCAGTTTGTAGAGTGCTATCTCGTCGGTGTCACCTAGGCTGTGAGCCTTCCAGAAACATTTCTTGGCTTCCTGTGGCTTGTCCACCTTCTGGTAGCACTCACCCAGGGCTATCACCATCCTGGAGTCATTGGGCCTGACAACACACACATAGACATATACACACAAATAATAGAATCTTTGTGCCTGACAACAAACACACATATAAAACAGTCACTGGGCTTGACAACATACACACACATATTAAACAGTTACTGGGCCTGACAACAAACACACATATAAAACAGTCACTGGGCCTGACAACACACACACACACACATATAAAACAGTCACTTGTCCTGACAACATACACACACACACATATAATAAGTCATTGGGCCTGACAAAACACACACACAAATACTAGTCACATGGTCTGACAACACTCACACACACAAATACTAGTTACATGGTCTGACAACACTCACACACACAAATACTAGTCACATGGTCTGACAACACTCACACACACAAATACTAGTCACATGGTCTGACAACACTCACACACACAAATACTAGTCACATAGTCTGAAAACACTCGCACACACAAATACTAGTCACATGGTCTGACAACACTCACACACACAAATACTAGTCACATGGTCTGAAAACACTCACACACACAAATACTAGTCACATGGTCTGAAAACACTCACACACACAAATACTAGTCACATGGTCTGACAACACACACACAAATACTAGTCACATGGTCTGACAACACTCACACACACAAATACTAGTCACATGGTCTGAAAACACTCACACACACAAATACTAGTCACATGGTCTGACAACACACACAAATACTAGTCACATGGTCTGACAACACACACACAAATACTAGTCACATGGTCTGACAACACACACACACAATACTAGTCTGACAACACTCACACACACAAATACTAGTCACATGGTCTGAAAACACTCACACACACAAATACTAGTCACATGGTCTGACAACACACACACAAATACTAGTCACATGGTCTGACAACACACACACAAATACTAGTCACATGGTCTGACAACACTCACACACACACAAATACTAGTCACATGGTCTGACAACACACACACATATACTAGTCACATGGTCTGACAACACACACACAAATACTAGTCACATGGTCTGACAACACACACACAAATACTAGTCACATGGTCTGACAACACACACACAAATACTAGTCACATGGTCTGACAACACACACACAAATACTAGTCACATGGTCTGACAACACACACACAAATACTAGTCACATGGTCTGAAAACACTCACACACACAAATACTAGTCACATGGTCTGAAAACACTCACACACACAAATACTAGTCACATGGTCTGACAACACACACAAATACTAGTCACATGGTCTGACAACACACACACACAAATACTAGTCACATGGTCTGACAACACACACACAAATACTAGTCACATGGTCTGACAACACACACACAAATACTAGTCACATGGTCTGAAAACACTCACACACACAAATACTAGTCACATGGTCTGACAACACACACACAAATACTAGTCACATGGTCTGACAACACACACACAAATACTAGTCACATGGTCTGACAACACACACACAAATACTAGTCACATGGTCTGACAACACACACACAAATACTAGTCACATGGTCTGACAACACACACACACACAAATACTAGTCACATGGTCTGACAACACTCACACACACACAAATACTAGTCACATGGTCTGACAACACTCACACACACACAAATACTAGTCACATGGTCTGACAACACACACACAAATACTAGTCACATGGTCTGACAACACACACACAAATACTAGTCACATGGTCTGACAACACACACACAAATACTAGTCACATGGTCTGACAACACTCACACACACACAAATACTAGTCACATGGTCTGACAACACTCACTCACATAAAATTGGCCCTTTGGTCTGATCATACACATACACACACACACAAAATGAGTCTAACACCACACACTCAGTGATCACACAATCTCTCAAACTCAGTGATCACACAATTTCTCCCACTCAGTGAACAGACAATTTCTCCCACTCAGTGATCACACAATTTCTTCCACTCAGTGAACAGACAATTTCTCCCACTCAGTGATCACACAATTTCTCCCACTCAGTGAACAGACAATTTCTCCCACACAACAAGCAATCTCTCACTAACCAACTCTCAATGACTCACTTCAATGTCTGTGCTTTCCTGTAGTAGTAGAGAGCATATGATGGCATCTTGAGGATCTCATAGGTCTGTCCAAGCCCGTACCAAGCCCGGTAATCCCGCTGGTCCACCTCTGGAACATGTCAGCAGATGTTCAGTGTCAGTCACGCTCCAGCCAGCATATCGGCCAACAGCAACAACAAAACTAAAGCTACATCCCTAAAGCTACAGATGTCCATCAATCATAACAAGAGAGTAATAACCATCTATATAAGGACAGCTGGTTGAGAAAAGATCAGAAACTGCTACAACAACAGTACAAATACACATATATATACAGACATACTACATGGCAAACTGTAAAAACAAATGTTACCTGACTGAGAGCAGAATGTAATCCCAGATCTCTTCCTTGATCTAAAATACAGCTGTGAGTGAGTGAGTCAGTGTGTGCAGTACAGATGGCTGGGTGGGGACAGTGTAGGAACACTGTCAAGGTCTGTGATACATTCACACTTGAAAGTAATCAACTACAGGCTAGAAACACTGTCTGTGATACATTCACACTTGAAAGTAATTGACCTCAGGCTGGGACACTGTCTGTGATACATTCACACTTGAAAGTAATCGACTACAGGCTAGGAACACTGTCTGTGATACATTCACACTTGAAAGTAATCGACTACAGGCTAGAAACACTGTCTGTGATACATTCACACTTGAAAGTAATTGACCTCAGGCTAGGACACTGTCTGTGATACATTCACACTTGAAAGTAATCGACTACAGGCTAGGAACACTGTCTGTGATACATTCACACTTGAAAGTAATTGACTACAGGCTAGGAACACTGTCTGTGATACATTCACACTTGAAAGTAATCGACTACAGGCTAGGAACACTGTCTGTGATACATTCACACTTGAAAGTAATTGACCTCAGGCTAGGAACACTGTCTGTGATACATTCACACTTGAAAGTAATCGACTACAGGCTAGAAACACTGTCTGTGATACATTCACACTTGAAAGTAATCGACTACAGGCTAGAAACACTGTATGTGATACATTCACACTTGAAAGTAATTGACCTCAGGCTAGGAACACTGTCTGTGATACATTCACACTTGAAAGTAATCGACTACAGGCTAGAAACACTGTCTGTGATACATTCACACTTGAAAGTAATCGACTACAGGCTAGGAACACTGTCTGTGATACATTCACACTTGAAAGTAATCAACTACAGGCTAGAAACAGGGTCTGAGGTGACTGGCTGTGACAACTTGAGGAAAATAAGAGCAACGAAATTTCCAAATAAGCAAAACATTCAATGTGATACTCTCAACAACATCTAATGTGACACTCTCAATAACATCCAATGTGACACTCTCAACACCATATAATTTGACACTGTTAACACACATGGTGACACTGTTAACACACATGGTGGCACTGTCAACATCCAATATGACATTATAAACACCCAAAATAACAGTATCAACTGTCACATGTGCATGTGTGAATGGGTGATGCAGTTTTGATAATTGCTCAAATAATGTTCCTTTCAATAGCTATGCTACTGATACAAATCAGTAACAACTAGCACATGTTTTTGTGTTGTATCAGACATGCAAGGACAGTCAAACATTTCACTGGTACAGGCAAACACCAGTCGGCCACACACAGACACCAGTCAGACACAGACATATATAAGACAGACACCAGTCAGACAGACAAAAACCAATCAGCCACAGGCAAACACCAGTCGGCCACAGATAGCAGTCAGCCACAGACACACACCAGTCAGCCACAGACAGACACCAGTCAGCCACAGGCAGACACCAGTCAGCCACAGACAGACACCAGTCAGCCACAGACAGACACCAGTCAGCCACAGACAGACACCAGTCAGCCACAGAGAGACACCAGTCAGCCACAGACAGACACCAGTCAGCCACAGACAGACACCAGTCAGCCACAGACAGACACCAGTCAGCCACAGACAGACACCAGTCAGACACAGACAGACACCAGTCAGCCACAGATAGACACCAGTCAGCCACAGATAGACACCAGTCAGCCACAGAGAGACATCAGTCAGCCACAGACAGACACCAGTCAGACACAGACAAACACCAGTCAGCCACAGACAGACACCAGTCAGCCACAGATAGACACCAGTCAGTCACAGACAGACACCAGTCAGCCACAGATAGACACCAGTCAGCCACAGAGAGACACCAGTCAGCCACAGAGAGACACCAGTCAGCCACAGACAGACACCAGTCAGCCACAGAGAGACACCAGTCAGCCACAGAGAGACACCAGTCAGCCACAGAGAGACACCAGTCAGCCACAGACACCAGTCAGTCACAGTGAGACACCAGTCAGCCACAGAGAGACACCAGTCAGCCACAGATAGACACCAGTTAGACACAGACACCAGTCAGCCACAGACAGAAACCAGTCAGCCACAGAGAGACACCAGTCAGTCACAGTGAGACACCAGTCAGCCACAGATAGACACCAGTTAGACACAGACACCAGTCAGCCACAGACAGAAACCAGTCAGCCACAAACAGACACCAGTCAGCCACAGACAGACACCAGTCAGCCACAGACAGACACCAGTCAGCCAGACAGACAGACATGAGTTAGCCACAGATAGACACCAGTCAGCCACAGATAGACATGAGTTAGCCACAAATAGACAGCAGTCGGACAAGAATTACCTATTGCCCGCCTGTAAGCCACAGATAGACACCAGTCAGCCACAGATAGACACCAGTCAGCCAAGAACTACCTATAGCCCGCCTGTAAGCCACAAATAGACAGCAGTCAGACAAGAACTACCTATAGCCCGCCTGTAAGGCACAGATAGACAGCAGTCAGCCACAGATAGACAGCAGTCAGACAAGAACTACCTAATGCCCGCCTGTAAGCCACAGATAGACAGCAGTCAGCCACAGATAGACAGCAGTCAGACAAGAACTACCTATTGCCTGCCTGTAAGCCACAGATAGACAGCAGTCAGACAAGAACTACCTATAGCCCGCCTGTAAGCCACAGATAGACAGCAGTCAGACAAGAACTACCTATTGCCTGCCTGTAAGCCACAGATAGACAGCAGTCAGACAAGAACTACCTATAGCCCGCCTGTAAGCCACAGATAGACAGCAGTCAGACAAGAACTACCTATAGCCCGCCTGTGAGCCACAGATAGACAGCAGTCAGACAAGAACTACCTATAGCCCGCCTGTAGGCCACAGATAGACAGCAGTCAGACAAGAACTACCTATAGCCCGCCTGTAAGCCTGGATGGCAGCTGAGGTGTTCTTCAGCTCCATGTACTCATGACCCATTAATGTCCAGGCAGAGATGTAGTTGGCATTCAGCTTTAGGGCTCGCTGGAAGTACACAATGGACTTCTCGTGCTGGGATCTCAAGGAATAGTAGTTGCCTGGACAAGAGGAGAAGCTTCAGTCATGTCCCCAACATAGCAGTATCAACATAGCAGTATCAACACAGCAGTATCAACATAGCAGTATCAACACAGCAGTATCAACATAGCAGTATCAACACAGCAGTATCAACACAGCAGTATCAACACAGCAGTATCAACACAGCAGTATCAACACAGCAGTATCAACATAGCAGTATCAACACAGCAGTATCAACATAGCAAGCACACAGAGGCCACAATCAACTGCATGGGTAGTATTCTCTATTATTGTATTTTAAAAGGTAGTCTCGTGTTATGGTAGTCTTGTGTTATGTAAGATCACAATCATAAACCTGGGCAGTGTCATGTTTTGTAAGTCTATTATGAAAGATCATAACCATAACCATGAGCATAGATAGTCTCATATTATGAAAGCATGGGTAGTCTTGAATTATGAACCTTCAACGTTCATGTTAGAGATCATCCTCGCACACTGGACATGACCATAAGTGATCTGATCTCCTCCTCAGTATGTTTCCATTCTGTTCTGGCTGATGTAACAAAAGGAGCTCCCGCATGATTTTCCTGTCATAACCAGTCTTGTATTATGAACCGTCATAACCATTAACATGAGTAGTCTTGTATTATGAACTGTCATAACCATTAACATGGGTAGTCTTGTATTATGAACTGTCATAACCATTAACATGAGTAGTCTTGTATTATGAACTGTCATAACCATTAACATGGGTAGTCTTGTATTATGAACTGTCATAACCATTAACATGGGTAGTCTTGTATTATGAACTGTCATAACCATTAACATGGGTAGTCTTGTATTATGAACTGTCATAACCATTAACATGGGTAGTCTTGTATTATACGCTGTCATAACCATTAACATGGGTAGTCTTGTATTATGAACTGTCATAACCATTAACATGGGTAGTCTTGTATTATACCCTGTCATAACCATTAACATGGGTAGTCTTGTATTATGAACCGTCATAACCATTAACATGGGTAGTCTTGTATTATGAACTGTCATAACCATTAACATGGGTAGTCTTGTATTATGAACTGTCATAACCATTAACATGGGTAGTCTTGTATTATGAACTGTCATAACCATTAACATGGGTAGTCTTGTATTATGAACTGTCATAACCATTAACATGGGTAGTCTTGTATTATGAACTGTCATAACCATTAACATGGATAGTCTTGTATTATACGCTGTCATAACCATTAACATGGGTAGTCTTGTATTATGAACTGTCATAACCATTAACATGGGTAGTCTTGTATTATACGCTGTCATAACCATTAACATGGGTAGTCTTGTATTATGAACTGTTAGAACCATTAACATGGGTAGTCTTGTATTATACGCTGTCATAACCATTAACATGGGTAGTCTTGTATTATGAACTGTCATAACCATTAACATGGATAGTCTTGTATTATGAACTGTCATAACCATTAACATGGGTAGTCTTGTATTATACGCTGTCATAACCATTAACATGGGTAGTCTTGTATTATGAACTGTCATAACCATTAACATGGATAGTCTTGTATTATGAACTGTCATAACCATTAACATGGATAGTCTTGTATTATGAACTGTCATAACCATTAACATGGGTAGTCTTGTATTATGAACTGTCATAACCATTAACATGGATAGTCTTGTATTATACGCTCTTTGGGCTCCACTTTCCACATTTTCATGACTCTGCCATATTGCTAGGTCATCAGCGTACAAGGCTTTTTCGGCCTTGATTTGTTCTGTATTAACATGGGTAGGATTGTATTATGAACTGTCATAACCATTAACATGGGTAGTCTTGTATTGAGGACCGTCATAACCACAAACCATTGATGTAACAAGTGAGAGGACAACAAACATTTACCAATGATGTAACAAGTGAGAGGACAACAAACACTTACCAATGATGTAACAAGTGAGAGGACAACAAACATTTACCAATGATGTAACAAGCGAAGGGACAACAAAGACGTACGATTGATGCAACAAGTGCATCAGTGTAGACATGATGTTGATCCATCGTCTAAACTTGTAACAAGTAAGAAAACAACAAGCACTTACCAATGACGCAGCATGTCTCCACACAATACTTGTTGACAGTACAACACTTGTGGGCCAGGTGAGCCAGCTCACTCTTCTTCTCCTGGACATAAGAAAACACATCCAATTATCAGAGAGACTGTCTAAAGCCCTTAGTTTTAGTCTGTCTCCATTCAACAGTTGTCTGTCTCCAGCCCCTAGTGGTTGTCTGTCTCCAGCCCCTAGTGGTTGTCTGTCTCCAGCTCGTAGCTGTTGTCGTAGCTGTTGTTGGTCTCCAGCCCGTAGTTGTGGTTGGTCTTCAGCCCTCTGCTGCTGTCTGTTTCCAGCCACTAGTTTTGCCTGTCTCCAGTACCCAGTTGTTGTCTGTCTGTCTCCATCATTCAGTTGTTGTCTGTCTGTCTCCATCATTCAGTTTGTTGTCTGTCTCCATCACCCAGTTGTTGTCTGTCTGTATCATCCAGTTGTTGTCTGTCTGTCTCCATCATCCAGTTGTTGTCTGTCTGTATCATCCAGTTGTCTGTCTGTCTCCATCATCCAGTTGTCTGTCTGTCTCCATCATCCAGTTGTCTGTCTGTCTCCATCATCCAGTTGTTGTCTGTCTCCAGTACCCAGTTGTTGTCTGTCTGTCTCCAGCACCCAGTTGTTGTCTGTCTCCAGCACCCAGTTGTTGTCTGTCTCCAGCACCCAGTTGTTGTCTGTCTCCATCATCCAATTGTTGGCTCTCTCCAGTACCCAGTTGTTGTCTGTCTGCAGCACCCAGCTGTTGCCTGTCTCCAGCACCCAGTTGTTGTCTGTCTCCAGCACTCGGTAGTTGTATGTCTTCAGATCCCTGTTGTTGTCTGACTCCAGCACTCAGTAGTTGTATGTCTTCAGATCCGTGTTGTTGTCTGTCTCCAGCACTCATTAGTTGTATGTCTTCAGATCCCTGTTGTTGTCTGTCTCCAGCACTTATTAGTTGTATGTCTTCAGATCTCTGTTGTTGTCTGTCTCCAGCCCCCAGTTGTTTTCTGTTTGTCTCCAGCCCCCAGTTGTTTTATATCTTTCTCCAGCACTTAGCTGTTGTCTGTCTCCAGCACCCAGTTGTTGCCTGTCTCAAGCACTCAGTTGTTGCCTGTCTCCAGCTCCCAGTAGTTGTCTGTCTCCATCATCCAGTTGTTGCCTGTCTCCAGCACCCAGTTGTTGCCTGTCTCAAGCACTCAGTTGTTGCCTGTCTCCAGCTCCCAGTTGTTGCCTGTCTCCAGCTCCCAGTAGTTGCCTGTCTCCAGCACCCAGTTGTTGCCTGTCTCCAGCACCCAGTTGTTGCCTGTCTCAAGCACCCAGTTGTTGCCTGTCTCCAGCTCCCAGTTGTTGCCTGTCTCCAGCACCCAGTTGTTGCCTGTCTCCAGCACCCAGTAGTTGCCTGTCTCCAGCACCCAGTTGTTGCCTGTCTCCAGCACCCAGTTGTTGTCTGTCTCCATCATCCAGTTGTTGCCTGTCTCCATCATTCAGTGGTTGCCTGTCTCCATCATCCAGTTGTTGCCTGTCTCCATCATCCAGTTGTTGCCTGTCTCCAGCACCCAGTTGTTGTCTGTCTCCAGCTTCCAGAGGCTAAAGTGATCTGCGAGCCAATGTGATGTTTGAACCCATGACCACCAGATCAGCAAGCAAGCATCTAGCAGCTACAGCCTGGCGGTTGACCATTGTTACATTGAAGTTTGTTGGTGCTGGGCATTTCCATGAAGTTAAACACATCAGTTAATGGACAAATACTTTCAGTGGGTGAAAGGCAAAACAACCATCACAGTGATATTTCAGTCCATGTGCTGAAATTGAAGATGCCTGAAATGATCCCAACACCCCCCACCTCCCAAGGTGAAGCTCACTCGAACACATCCGTCACAGACATATCCAGGGAGAAATCTCTAACCGCCCATTTCATAAAGAAATCTGAGGGGACAGCTTGGCTAAGGGAACATAGGAAAATGAAGATGATAATGATGGACATACAATGTCTGACAAGGACATGAGGAAGAGCTTATGTAGCTGGTACCTTGACGTAGAGCAAGTTGGAGTAGATGTCCATGTTTTCAATTCGGTAAGGGTCCATGACTTCCAGCGTCTTGAAGGTCGTCACAGCCTGGTCCACATCTGTTGGTGAAAGCAAACATATCAGTCCAGGACAGCACACGGATGCTGAATTCAGACATCTGTTGGTGGAAGCAAACATATCAGTCCAGGACAGCAAATTACAGCACACGGATGCTGAATTTAGACATCTGTTAGTGGAAGCAAACATATCAATCCAGGACAGCACAGAACAGCACACGGATGCTGAATTCAGACATCTGTTGGTGGAAGCAAACATATCAATCCAGGACAGCACACGGATGCTGAATTCAGACATCTGTTGGTGGAAACAAACATATCAGTCCAGGACAGCACACGGATGCTGAATTCAGACATCTGTTAGTGGAAGCAAACATATCAGTCCAGGACAGCACACGGATGCTGAATTTAGACATCTGTTGGTGGAAGCAAACATATCAATCCAGGACAGTACGTGATAGCACAGGTAAATGCATGGATGCTGAACTCACAGACATCTGATGGCAAACATATCGGTACAGGACAGAAGAAAACAGTAAATCACAGCACAGGGATGCTGAACTGACAGACATCTGTTGGTAAAAGCAAATATAACAAGATTATATCTCCCTATGATCTACAAGTTCATTGTTCAGAAAAACCTCAGATCTCATCTCTGGGCCTACTACCACAACGTTTGCAACAAAACACATGCTCCTAGACACAGACGTACCTCGCATGTCATGATAAGTTACTGCAACCTGTGCCACGATGTAAGGACTCTGGGCAAAGCCTCGTTCCATGAAGATTCTGTAGATGTTGAGGGCCTCCTCGTGCAGCTGAAGCTCCATGTAAACCTTGGCCATAAACAAAGATCGGATCCAGTGACTGGGCAGCTGGTAGGACATCAGCTGCAAGCAGACAAAGAGTTGGCTGACCAGTGACTGGGCAGCTGGTAGGACATCAGCTGCAAGCAGACAAAGAGTTGGCTGACCAGTGACTGAGCAGTTCATATGTCATCAGCTGCAAGCAGACAAAGAGTTGACTGACCAGTGACTGAGCAGTTCATAGGTCATCAGCTGCATGCAGACAAAGAGTTGACTGACCAGTGACTGAGCAGTTCATAGGTCATCAGCTGCAAGCAGACAAAGAGTTGGCTGACCAGTGACTGAGCAGTTCATAGGTCATCAGCTGCATGCAGACAAAGAGTTGACTGACCAGTGACTGAGCAGTTCATAGGACATCAGCTGCATGCAGACAAAGAGTTGACTGACCATTGACTGGCCAGATAGTAGGACATCAGCTGCAAGCAGACAAAGAGTTGACTGACCAGTGACTGGACAGTTCATAGGTCATCAGCTGCAAGTAGACAAAGAGTTGACTGACCAGTGACTGAGCAGTTCATAGGACATCAGCTGCATGCAGACAAAGAGTTGACTGACCATTGACTGGCCAGATGGTAGGACATCAGCTGCAAGCAGACAAAGAGTTGACTGACCAGTGACTGGACAGTTCATAGGTCATCAGCTGCAAGTAGACAAAGAGTTGACTGACCAGTGACTGGACAGTTCATAGGACATCAGCTGCAAGCAAAGAGTTGACTGACCATTGACTGGCCAGATGGTAGGACATCAGCTGCAAGCAGACAAAGAGTTGACTGACCAGTGACTGGCCAGATGGTAGGACATCAGCTGCAAGTAGACAAAGAGTTGGCTGACCAGTGACTGGCCAGATGGTAGGACAGCTGCAAGCAGACAAAGAGTTGACTGACCAGTGACTGGCCAGATGGTAGGACAGCCACAAGCAGACAAAGAGTTGACTGACCAGTGACTGGCCAGATGGTAGGACAGCTGCAAGCAGACAAAGAGTTGACTGACCAGTGACTGAGCAGACGGTAGGACAGCTGCAAGCAAAGAGTTGACTGACCAGTGACTGGCCAGATGGTAGGACATTAGTTGCAAGCAGACCAAGAGTTGACTGAGCAGTGACTGGGCAGTTCATAGGACATCAGTTTCAAGCAAAGCGTTGACTGACTTCTTGTCTCTGACTTGATTTGACTTGATTTGTGCTTATGATAGGCTCAGTTTCCTGGGCTTTAAGTCACTGGACTTGTCGTCTTCTTGATGCTTCCTTCCTTGCACTCTCTCTCTACTCTATCACTGTTGGTTGCTTGAAGGTCTTTGCATAACTGTATTTTGGTTAGCTTTTATTCAGTTGTTGCTAACGTTTTCTTGATTGTAGCCACTTCAAACAAGAGTAGTATCTTGGTGTCTTGCTATCTCTGAGCCTGGTCTGCTCTTTTGGCGCTCTAAGCACTCCGTTCCTTCTGCATCTTAATGTCTGTTAGCAGGGCCATGTTGTCTATATCAGTTTCCACATGCTTCCGGGTTTCAGGTGATGTTTGCAGAAGATTTCACAGCCCTGTCATTTCCATTCTCTCTTGATCCTGCTGTGTTTTGATCTCATAGGGCCTGCTTTCACTTGGACTCAGATAAGACACAAGCTATTTATGCTGTCACTTGGATAAGACACAAGCTATTTATGCTGTCACTTGGACATGGCAAAGACACAAGCTATTTATGCTGTTACTTGGACCACGGCAAACACACGCTATTTATGCTGTCACTTGGACCACGGCAAAGACACAAGCTATTTATGCCTTCACTTGGACCACGGCAAAGACACAAGCTATTGATGCTGTCACTTGGACCACGGCAAAGACACAAGCTATTTATGCTTTCACTTGGACCACGGCAAAGAAACAAGCTATTGATGCTGTCACTTGGACTCGGCAAAGACACAAGTCTACTTATGGTAACACTTGGACTCGGCAAAGACACAAGTCTACTTATGGTAACACTTGGACTCGGCAAAGAAACAAGCTATTTATGCTGTCACTTGGACCACGGCAAAGACACAAGCTATTTATGCTGTCACTTGGACTCGGCAAAGACACAAGCTATTTACGGTAACACTTGGACTCACACAAGCTATTTATGGTTACACTTGGACTCGGCAAAGACACAAGCTATTTATGCTGTCACTTGGAGAATTTACTTTTGTTCACCATGTTATTCTTACAGATATATTTAGAAGTTCTCTCCTGAAACCACAGATAAACCTGCTAAGAAAGAGGCAGAATGTGAACATGAATAACATATGAGAGTAGAAAATGGCCCTCCAGTCTATCAGAAGTGAACAGAGTCTGGCCAGAGATGACCACCACTTACTTGACCGGCATGGGCAGGTCATTTTTCTATGCCTCAGGACATAAACATACACAGACTTCATCTAAGTAGTTTACGATTATGTCCCTGTGGGCTGTGTGTGCAGACAACAGAATGTGTCCTGCAAGAGTGTCCCTGTGGGCTGTGTGGGCAGACAGCAGAATGTGTCCTGCAAGAATGTCCCTGTGGGCTGTGTGTGCAGACAACAGAATGTGTCCTGCAAGAGTGTCCCTGTGGGCTGTGTGGGCAGACAACAGAATGTGTCCTGCAAGAGTGTCCCTGTGGGCTGTGTGGGCAGACAACAGAATGTGTCCTGCAAGAGTGTCCTTGTGGGCTGTGTGGGCAGACAACAGAATGTGTCCTGCAAGAGTGTCCCTGTGGGCTGTGTGGGCAGACAACAGAATGTGTCCTGCAAGAATGTCCCTGTGGGCTGTGTGGGCAGACAACAGAATGTGTCCTGCAAGAATGTCCCTGTGGGCTGTGTGGGCAGACAACAGAATGTGTCCTGCAAGAATGTCCCTGTGGGCTGTGTGGGCAGACAACAGAATGTGTCCTGCAAGAATGTCCCTGTGGGCTGTGTGGGCAGACAGCAGAATGTGTCCTGCAAGAATGTCCCTGTGGGCTGTGTGGGCAGACAACAGAATGTGTCCTGCAAGAATGTCCCTGTGGACTGTGTGGGCAGACAACAGAATGTGTCCTGCAAGAATGTCCCTGTGGGCTGTGTGGGCAGACAACAGAATGTGTCCTGCAAGAATGTCCCTGTGGGCTGTGTGGGCAGACAACAGAATGTGTCCTGCAAGAATGTCCCTGTGGGCTGTGTGGGCAGACAACAGAATGTGTCCTGCAAGAATGTCCCTGTGGGCTGTGTGGGCAGACAACAGAATGTGTCCTGCAAGAGTGTCCCTGTGGGCTGTGTGGGCAGACAACAGAATGTGTCCTGCAAGAGAGTCCCTGTGGGCTGTGTGGGCAGACAACAGAATGTGTCCTGCAAGAATGTCCCTGTGGGCTGTGTGGGCAGACAACAGAATGTGTCCTGCAAGAGTGTCCTCTGTACAGGCCATTCAGAAGAGAATACTGGAATACTGGTCCAACGAGTCAACATTGCAGTCAAAGTTATAGGGAACAACAAGGGAACTGCTAAGTCAACATTGCAGTCAAAGTTATAAGGAACAAAAAGGGAACTGCTAAGTCAACATTGCAGTCAAAGTTATAAGGAACAAAAAGGGAACTGCTAAGTCAACATTGCAGTCAAAGTTATAAGGAACAAAAAGGGAACTGCTAAGTCAACATTGCAGTCAAAGTTATAAGGAACAAAAAGGGAACTGCTAAGTCAACATTGCAGTCAAAGTTATAACGAACAAAAAGGGAACTGCTAAGTCAACATTGCAGTCAGAGTTATAAGGAACAAAAAGGGAACTGCTAAGTCAACATTGCAGTCAAAGTTATAAGAAACAAAAAGGGAACTGCTAAGTCAACATTGCAGTCAAAGTTATAAGGAACAACAAGGGAACTGCTAAGTCAACATTGCAGTCAAAGTTATAAGGAACAAAAAGGGAACTGCTAAGTCAACATTGCAGTCAAAGTTATAGGGAACAAAAAGGGAACTGCTAAGTCAACATTGCAGTCAAAGCTATGAGGAACAAAAAGGGAACTGCTAAGAACAGTCAAGTTTATCACAAGAACTTGTCTGTCAGTTGTCGATCGTGAACACAAGAAGGTAAAGAAAAAGAATTTCCTAGATGATGCTGATGTGTAGAACCGACTAGCAGATTACTGTTTCAAGTTTCTGCTGGAGTCTACAAACTTTAAAACGGTTGCTGCTCTTGCTATGGAGTTAGTATAGATTTTTCTGACCCCTACAGATGTGTCATGTATGTCCCACTGTTTCTCATTTTCGCAGAACCATCTGTAAATACACTGGTGCAAATGTGGTTGAGATGTTGCTTTCTGAGCTTATTTTACAAGAAGGCCAACAAACTGACCATCTCCTTGTCTGTGGTGTTCCGTGCCAGCTCCATCCAGGCAGCCCAGTTCAAGGGCTCCTTGTTGACTGACTCCACAAACATTTCAGTTGCCAAAGACAGTAGCTCCAGCTTGGCCAACACCACCCCGTACCTGCAGGCAGACAGACAGACAAGTGAATGCTACAGTCAAACATAACAATGTGACACTGGTAGACAAGTTACAGGTCACATATAACAAATGTTTCAGGTCATATTAACAATGTGACAGGGGTAGACACATGTTACAGGTCATATATAACAATTTGACAGGGTAGACAAGTGTTACAGGTCATAAATAACAATGTGACAGGGGTAGACAAATGTTACAGGTCGTATGTAAGAATTTGACATATGTAGAGCATATTATACACATACAACAATGCTACAGGTCATAAATAGCAACGCTACAGGTCACATATAACAACGTGACAGGTCACCTATAACAATGTTACAGGGGTAGTCACATGTTATTTGTCACATATAACAATCTAACAGGGGTAGACATATGTTACAGTCACACATAACAATGTTACAGGGGTAGTCAAATGTTATTTGTCACATATAACAATCTAACAGGAGTAGACATATGTTACAGTCACACATAACAATGTTACAGGGGTAGTCAAATGTTATTTGTCACATATAACAATCTAACAGGGGTAGACATATGTTACAGTCACACATAACAATGTTACAGGGGTAGTCAAATGTTATTTGTCACATATAACAATGTAACATGGGTAGACTCGTGTTACATGTCACATACATGTTACAGATTTGTGAAGGCATTTGGCTCACTGGTAGGTTCCTGACAGAAATAATCTATCCTACACACAACTAAACCAATACCGTCAGAGCATACACACAAATCTTTACTATAAGTTACAAGAAAAATGTGGCTGTTCCCCTGGGTGACAGTGATCCGTGTTAGCAATATCTGCTGTACACTTGCCCCTACAGTACAGTACCGGCCTTACAGGTACGATCAGGGTCTGAACCAAACAGTCTCCCTTACAAGTTCTTTCTGACGCCTCTACATCTCACAGTAAGTCTGCTAAGCCAACGCACGGTTGGTGTGAGTAGACAGACCATGTCATCTTACCAAACAAAACCCTGCGCAACCCACTTCACTAAGCAATGTTTGACATACAAATGAATTGCTACATAAATCAGCACAACAGTTAATCACCGGCTAACACTACAATCACCTTACCATCTGACTAAACCCATTATGAAATAAATACTTGTTGCTAATCTAATTAAATCACTGTAAATATATAGAGGTCAAATACACACTGTACATGTCCTGTCCAAAGTCTAGCAGTCAAATACATACTGTACATGTCCTGTCCAAAGTCTAGCGGTCAAATACATACTGTACATGTCCTGTCCAAAGTCTAGCGGTCAAATACATACTGTACATGTCCTGTCCAAAGTCTAGCGGTCAAATACATACTGTACATGTCCTGTCCAAAGTCTAGCGGTCAAATACATACTGTACATGTCCTGTCCAAAGTCTAGCGGTCAAATACATACTGTACATGTCCTGTCCAAAGTCTAACATAAGTCTTCTACTCTACGGTCTCACACAACTATCCTGCCTTACACCATTGTCATCTTCTACGATCTTATACAACTGTCCTGCCTTACACTACTGTCATCTTCTACGGTCTCACACAACTGTCCTGCCTTACACCATTGTCATCTTCTACGATCTCACACAACTGTCCTGCCTTACACCATTGTCATCTTCTACGATCTCACACAACTGTCCTGCCTTACACCATTGTCATCTTCTACGATCTCACACAACTGTCCTGCCTTACACTATTGTCATCTTCTACGATCTCACACAACTATCCTGCCTTACACCATTGTCATCTTCTACGATCTCACACAACTGTCCTGCCTTACACTATTGTCATCTTCTACGATCTCACACAACTATCCTGCCTTACACCATTGTCATCTTCTACGATCTCACACAACTGTCCTGCCTTACACTATTGTCATCTTCTACGATCTCACACAACTGTCCTGCCTTACACCATTGTCATCTTCTACGATCTCACACAACTGTCCTGCCTTACACCATTGTCATCTTCTACGATCTCACACAACTGTCCTGCCTTACACTACTGTCATCTTCTACGATCTTATACAACTGTCCTGCCTTACACTACTGTCATCTTCTACGATCTCACACAACTGTCCTGCCTTACACTACTGTCATCTTCTACGATCTTACACAACTGTCCTGCCTTACACTACTGTCATCTTCTACGATCTCACACAACTGTCCTGCCTTACACTACTGTCATCTTCTACGATCTCACACAACTGTCCTGCCTTACACTACTGTCATCTTCTACGATCTCACACAACTGTCCTGCATTACACTACTGTCATCTTCTACGATCTCACACAACTGTCCTGCCTTACACTACTGTCATCTTCTACGATCTCACACAACTGTCCTGCCTTACACTACTGTCATCTTCTACGATCTCACACAACTGTCCTGCCTTACACTACTGTCATCTTCTACGATCTCACACAACTGTCCTGCCTTACACTACTGTCATCTTCTACGATCTCACACAACTGTCCTGCCTTACACTACTGTCATCTTCTACGATCTTACACAACTATCCTGCCTTACACTACTGTCATCTTCTACGATCTCACACAACTGTCCTGCCTTACACTACTGTCATCTTCTACGATCTCACACAACTGTCCTGCCTTACACTACTGTCATCTTCTACGATCTCACACAACTGTCCTGCCTTACACTACTGTCATCTTCTACGATCTCACACAACTGTCCTGCCTTACACTACTGTCATCTTCTACGATCTCACACAACTGTCCTGCCTTACACTACTGTCATCTTCTACGATCTCACACAACTGTCCTGCCTTACACTACTGTCATCTTCTACGATCTCACACAACTATCCTGCCTTACACTACTGTCATCTTCTACGGTCTCACACAAATATCCTGCCTTACACTACTGTCATCTTCTACGGTCTCACACAACTATCCTGCCTTACACTACTGTCATCTTCTACGGTCTCACACAAATATCCTGCCTTACACTACTGTCATCTTCTACGGTCTTACACAACTATCCTGCCTTACACTACTGTCATCTTCTACGGTCTCACACAAATATCCTGCCTTACACTACTGTCATCTTCTACGGTCTTATACAACTATCCTGCCTTACACTACTGTCATCTTCTACGGTCTTATACAACTGTCCTGCCTTACACTACTGTCATCTTCTACGGTCTTATACAACTGTCCTGCCTTACACTACTGTCATCTTCTACGGTCTTATACAACTGTCCTGCCTTACACTACTGTCATCTTCTACGGTCTTATACAACTGTCCTGCCTTACACTACTGTCATCTTCTACGATCTCACACAACTGTCCTGCCTTACACTACTGTCATCTTCTACGATCTCACACAACTGTCCTGCCTTACACTACTGTCATCTTCTACGATCTCACACAACTGTCCTGCCTTACACTACTGTCATCTTCTACGATCTTATACAACTGTCCTGCCTTACACTACTGTCATCTTCTACGGTCTTATACAACTGCCCTGCCTTACACTACTGTCATCTTCTACGGTCTTATACAACTGTCCTGCCTTACACTACTGTCATCTTCTACGATCTCACACAACTGTCCTGCCTTACACTACTGTCATCTTCTACGGTCTTATACAACTGTCCTGCCTTACACTACTGTCATCTTCTACGGTCTTATACAACTGTCCTGCCTTACACTACTGTCATCTTCTACGGTCTTATACAACTGTCCTGCCTTACACTACTGTCATCTTCTACGGTCTTATACAACTGTCCTGCCTTACACTACTGTCATCTTCTACGGTCTTATACAACTGTCCTGCCTTACACTACTGTCATCTTCTACGGTCTCACACAACTGTCCTGCCTTACACTACTGTCATCTTCTACGGTCTTATACAACTGTCCTGCCTTACACTACTGTCATCTTCTACGGTCTTATACAACTGTCCTGCCTTACACTACTGTCATCTTCTACGGTCTTACACAACTGTCCTGCCTTACACTACTGTCATCTTCTACGGTCTTACACAACTGTCCTGCCTTACACTACTGTCATCTTCTACGGTCTCACACAACTGTCCTGCCTTACACTACTGTCATCTTCTACGGTCTCACACAACTGTCCTGCCTTACACTACTGTCATCTTCTACGGTCTTACACAACTATCCTGCCTTACACCATTGTCATCTTCTACGATCTCACACAACTGTCCTGCCTTACACTACTGTCATCTTCTACGGTCTTACACAACTGTCCTGCCTTACACCATTGTCATCTTCTACGGTCTTACACAACTGTCCTGCCTTACACTACTGTCATCTTCTACGATCTTACACAACTGTCCTGCCTTACACTACTGTCATCTTCTACGGTCTTACACAACTGTCCTGCCTTACACTACTGTCATCTTCTACGGTCTCACACAACTGTCCTGCCTTACACTACTGTCATCTTCTACGGTCTTATACAACTGTCCTGCCTTACACTACTGTCATCTTCTACGGTCTCACACAACTGTCCTGCCTTACACTACTGTCATCTTCTACGGTCTTACACAACTGTCCTGCCTTACACTACTGTCATCTTCTACGATCTTATACAACTGTCCTGCCTTACACTACTGTCATCTTCTACGGTCTTATACAACTGTCCTGCCTTACACTACTGTCATCTTCTACGGTCTTATACAACTGTCCTGCCTTACACTACTGTCATCTTCTACGGTCTCACACAACTGTCCTGCCTTACACTACTGTCATCTTCTACGGTCTCACACAACTGTCCTGCCTTACACTACTGTCATCTTCTACGGTCTTATACAACTGTCCTGCCTTACACTACTGTCATCTTCTACGGTCTTATACAACTGTCCTGCCTTACACTACTGTCATCTTCTACGGTCTTATACAACTGTCCTGCCTTACACTACTGTCATCTTCTACGGTCTTACACAACTGTCCTGCCTTACACTACTGTCATCTTCTACAGTCTTACACAACTGTCCTGCCTTACACTACTGTCATCTTCTACGGTCTCACACAACTGTCCTGCCTTACACTACTGTCATCTTCTACGGTCTCACACAACTGTCCTGCCTTACACTACTGTCATCTTCTACGGTCTCACACAACTGTCCTGCCTTACACTACTGTCATTTTCTACGGTCTTACACAACTGTCCTGCCTTACACCACTGTCATCTTCCAAGCTCTTACAAAAACTACCCTAAAATCCATGGTTCATTGTCGTTTTGTCGAGTCTTCAAGCTTCTGGCTGGTGAACAGAACATCTTGAATCTGATTTATCTCACCTGGTCACGACCTTCCAATGGCCGTATTTGTGTGTCATTGAACACAAGGTCAAGTCACGGTCACATGAGTGCTACCAGGCTTACCTATCATCATCATTCATGGGCATTGAAGAGCCAGACAGGACCCTGACAGGTCATGAATAACAATGTGGCAAGGAAGACGCATGTTACAGGTCATGAATAACAATGTGGCAGGGGTAGACCCATGTTACAGGTCATAAATAACAATGTGGCAGGGGTAGACCCATGTTACAGGTCATAAATAACAATGTGGCAGGGGTAGACCCATGTTACAGGTCATAAATAACAATGTGGCAGGGGTAGACCCATGTTACAGGTCATAAATAACAATGTGGCAGGGCTAGACGCATGTTACAGGTCATAAATAACAATGTGGCAGGGGTAGACCCATGTTACAGGTCATAAATAACAATGTGGCAGGGGTAGACCCATGTTACAGGTCATAAATAACAACGTGGCAGGGGTAGACCCATGTTACAGGTCATAAATAACAATGTGGCAGGGGTAGACCCATGTTACAGGTCATAAATAACAACGTGGCAGGGGTAGACCCATGTTACAGGTCATAAATAACAATGTGGCAGGGGTAGACCCATGTTACAGGTCATAAATAACAATGTGGCAGGGGTAGACCCATGTTACAGGTCATAAATAACAATGTGGCAGGGGTAGACCCATGTTACAGGTCATAAATAACAACGTGGCAGGGGTAGACCCATGTTACAGGTCATAAATAACAATGTGGCAGGGGTAGACCCATGTTACAGGTCATAAATAACAACGTGGCAGGGGTAGACCCATGTTACAGGTCATAAATAACAACGTGGCAGGGGTAGACCCATGTTACAGGTCAGTTATAATAATGTTACAAAGGTACACATATGTTAAAACAACAAGCACATGCTACAGTTAAATACAACAAAGTGACAGTGGTAGATGCATGTAACAAGTCAGTTATAACAATGTTACAGAGCAGACAAATGTTACAGGTCAAATATAACAAGATGAGAGGGGTAGACATATGTTACAGGTCACATATAACATTATAGTTTACCTAACCCATAGTTGCCCTGTGGTCAGTACTTACAGGTACTTCACCCACTTATGGTTGCCCTGTGGTTAGTACTTACAGGTACTTTACGCACTTATAGTTGCCCAGTAGTTAGTACTTACAGGCACTTCACCCACTTACAGTTGCCCTGTGGTTAGTACTTACAGGTACTTCACCCACTTATAGTTGCCCTGTGGTCAGTACTTCCAGGTACTTCACCCACTTATAGTTGCCCTGCGGTTAGTACTTACAGGTACTTCACCCAGTTATAGTTGCCTTGTGGTCAGTACTTACAGGTACTTCACCCACTTATAGTTGCCCTGTGGTCAGTACTTACAGGTACAAACCGAAGCCATCCAGTTCCTTCCTGCTGTGTTTCTCTGAAAGTTCCGTCTGAAGAATTTTCAGAATTTCATCCTCATGCGGTTCAACGTGACCTAGGACACAAAGATGAAATCTTAGCTTACATCCAGCACTGGAAACTATCTGTCAGGACAGACACTGACATCTCTATACTCTCAGATTTACACCTCTATGTTTTCAGACAGACACCTTTATGTTCTCATAGAGACACTGACACCATTATGCTCTCAGACACACACTGACTCCTCTATGCTTTCAGACAGACACCTCTATGCTCTCAGAGAGACACTGGCATCCCTATACTCTGAGACAGAAACAGACACCTATTTGCTCTCAGGAAGAAATTGACACCTCTATACTTTCAGTCAGACAAAGACACCTTTACACTCTTGGACAGACCATGACACACATATTCAGACATCTTCATACTCTCAGAGACAGAAAACTCTATACATATTCTATACTTTCAGTCATTCTTCTTCTTTTGTCAAAATCTGCTTGTGCCGCTAGGCGTCGCAGTCTATCAGATGATCGGCAACCGAGCCAGGGCGCGCTCAGTCGCCTCATATGCCGTGATGTTATGAAGTCTCAAGTTGTCCGTGACTCCTTCAATCCATCTTTTTCTTGGTCTTCCCCTGCCTCTTGTTGTTTCGATTTTCATGTTGTATGCTCTTGATGCTGGCATCGTTGGTTCCATTCTCATTAGGTGACCAAACCATTTCATTCTTTGCTTCTCAATAAATTTAACGATGGGTATGGTTCCAATAGTTCTTGTAATCACATCGTTTCTCACTCGATCTCTTCTGGTTTTATTCGCAGCCATTCTCAAACATCTCATTTCACAGGTGGTTAGTCTTCTCTCATGTTCTTTTGTTAATGTCCAAGTCTGACATTGATAACCTAATGTCGGTATAAGGATTGTATTTATAATTTGTCTTTTTATCTCAGCTGGGACAGCAGGGTGTTTTAAAAATTGGGGCAAGCTGGTATGCGACATTGTTGGCTTGTTGGATTCTTGCTTCAATCTCTCTGTCTATTTTACCATTGGATGTAAAGATACTTCCCAGGTATTTAAATTCTTGCACTTGTTTTAGGCTGTGATCTAGAATCTTTATGTCGATGGTCTGTTGCTCTCTACTTATGCTCATGACTTCTGTCTTTTCAGTATTGATCTTCATATGATGCTTGAGGCAACTGTCGTGTAGTAGGTTCATGTGGTCTTGCAGCTGTTTACTATCACTGTGAAATATGCATTGATCGTCGGCAAAGAGCAGCTCATTGAAGTCCTCCTGTTTATCGACATCTGTTGGTGTTATGTCTATTTTATTAATATTTTCCATAAATATTATGAAAAGTAAAGGTGATAATACACAACCTTGTCTTACTCCTGATGTTACTGGGAACCAGTCTGTGATGCCAGCTCTTGTTCTAATGGCGCTTTCACTTTGTCTATAAATAGCCCTAACACAATCTAAAATTGTTCCATTTATATCGTAGTTTTCAAGAACTTTCCATAATAAATTTCTGTTTACTCTATCGAAAGCTTTTTCTTGATCTATGAAAGCGATGTTCATTTGATGTCTGTGTTCTATTGTCTTTTCGCTAACTTGTCTTAAAGCAAAAATAGCGTCAGTACACCCTCTTCCTTTCCTAAATCCGACCTGTGATGGGCTCAGGATCGGTTCTACAACGGATCTAATTCGTTGTTCCAGAATTTTGGCAAACATTTTTCCTACGTGGCTTAGAAGGGAGATGCCTCTGTCATTGACACCTCTATAATTTTAGACATTGACACCTCTATACTTTTAGACATTGACACCTCTGTACTCTTGAACAGACACCTCTATACTTTCAGACAGACACTAACATCTCTATATTTTCAGACACACACACACAACTCTATACTCTCAAACAGACACTGACACCTCTAAACTGACAGACAATGACATGTCTATTTTCTCAAACCATCTACAATGGAGAAAAAGAAGGGTAACAGTTGAATACATTGTCAATTGGGGAGGGGGGAGGGGGGGGGGGAGAGAGATCATGAAAATTTGTGCAAGAGAAACAATTACCACTGGAGTCTGGCATGTTGTCAGCCTTGCGTTTCTGGTCAGACATGTAGAGGGAGTACATGCGCAGGAAGTACGGCTTTGGGCTCTTGCATTCTCTGAGAACATACACAGCTCTATCAAACTCTTTCACATCAAAGTAGGTCTTGGCAAGAACGTAACTGTCATACTCATCCCAAAACTCCTGCAACAGTCAAGTTTTTTCTGGGATTAGAACAGCTATTACACACGGTGATCAGTCATCAGTATTACAGTCATCAGTATCATAGCCATCATCAGTATCACACCCAGAGTATCCTAACCATCAGCAGTAAGTATAATGGTCATCAGTATCAGGGTCACCAGTGTTACAGTCATCAGTATCAGTCTTCAACATCGTGGTTATCAGTATCACAATCATCAGTGTCACGGCCACCAGTATCACGGCCACCAGTGTCACGGCCACCAGTGTCACAGCCACCAGTGTCACAGCCACCAGTATCACAGCCATCAGTATTACAATTATAAGTACCATGGTCATAATATCACAACAATCAGTATCATCACCATCACCAGTATCACAGCCACCAGTATCACGGCCACCAGTACCACAGCCATCAGTATTACAATTATAAGTACCATGGTCATAATATCACAACAATCAGTATCATCACCATAACCAGTATCACAGCCATCAGTATTACAATTAATTAGTACCATGGTTATAATATCACAACAATCAGTATCATCACCATCACCAGTATATGGGTCATCATTATCATGGACATCAACATTATATGGGTTACGAGTATCAGGCTCACGGTCATCAGTATCACGGATATTACCAGTATATCGATCATCAATATCAAGGTCATCAACAGTAGATAGATCATCATATTGTGGTAATCTGTTATCAGGGTCACCAGTTTTACTGTCACCCAGATTATGGCAATCAGTATTACCATCAACGGTATCACTGCCACTAGTATCATCACCATCACATGGGTCATCAGTATCCAGGTCATCAACAGTATCATGGCCATTAGTATTATATTATGGTAATCAGTATCGTTACCATCAATATCACTGTCATTGTCATCAGTATCAGTCATAGTATTATGGTCATCAGTAGTACAATCATCAGTATCAGGCCATCATTAGTTTCAGGGTCACCAGTATCACAGTCATCATTGTCATGTCTTTGTTACCATGACACGATGTCATGTCATCAAAACACACAAGAACCATCAACAAGATTTATCACATATTGAGACTGGGAACTTTTGTTAACAAGACATTATACAGTAACATATCTGAGATTCAACAAGACATCACTCAGTAACATATCTGAGATCCAATAACAAAAACATCACACAGTCACATATCTGAGATCCAACAACAAAACATCACTCAGTAACATGTCTGAGAACCAACAACAAAACATCACACAGTAACATCCTTGAGATCCAACAAGATATCACACAGTAAGATCCTTTAGATACAACAAGACATCACTCAGTAACATATCTGAAATCCAAGAACAAGACATCATATAGTAACATCCCTGAGATCCAACAAGACATCACCCAGTAACATATCTTAGATCCAACAACAAGACATCACACAGTAACATATCTGAGATCCAACAACAAGATATCACTCAGTAACATCCTAGAGATAAAAAAAAAAGACATCACAGTAACATACCCTAGATCTAACAACAAATCACTCAGTAATATCACCAAGATTTAACAACAAATCACTCAGTAACATCATTGAGATCCAACAAGACATCACTCATTAACATCCCTGAGATCCAAGAACACATCACTCAGTAACATACATGAGAACAAACAACAGGACATCACAGATCCTTATATTTTAGATAAATCAAAATGACTTATTGCAGATCCTGATATTTAAAATAAACCAACAAGATATCACAGATCAAGATACCTGGCTTTCATCGGCCAACTGTAGACCGCTGGCATCCACACGGACATCCAGAGCTTTTGACATCTCCGCTGCCCTGCAGGACAATAACACACACACACTAGATTCATTTCTATGTGCCACCTTACACACACACACATATGTGTCCCCTCACTTGTGCATACACATACGTACACAAACCTAATGAATGTAAACGTTGGAAAATGTTTTCTCCCCTGGCATATTTCGCTGTATCTGGTCCATTCAACATGTGATCAGTAGCTTTTAAGGCACAATCCCTAGATCTTTGTACCCGGAATCAGGCAAATGACAGCCAATGTTCAACCAATGTCATTTAACTGGCACTTACAGGCAAATAGGTTAATGCAACTGTGTTTGGTGTATGGTGAGATACTTGATCTGTAACAGGTGGGGCTAGGATAGAAGTGATCATGTATCTCACTAATGGAAGAGTGTCAAAGAACATTAGACTGACAACAGTTTTTAGTCAGTCCTGCAGACACTTCATGACTGTCAGGGTCCTATGTGGCTATGGGATGATTGCAAATGATGATGATAAATAGTGAACTTGTAACTGAATAAAGGCGAAGAAGCGACATGTTTTCCCGAGAATTTTATTCAGTATTTAGCGGTGCAGTTGATCAGAGAGTAGGAGAGAGACGGACTTGGGAACAGGACGTATTGTTTTGACAGATAGATGTTTTATTGTTCTGAATGATGTTAGCGACAGGTAGCTTCGGGTTAGGGTTTTAGCGTGATGGTATGAGTCATGTGTTTGTGTTAGCAAAATGTAGGTTATTACTGGTATTTATAATGATATTCATTTGTGTATTTACTTAGACGTTAGCAAGGCGGTCCTTGAACGGTTGATCTGGTTACATGACATGGTCTGTCCACTCACTCTGGCCAAAGTAGCACCGCAGTCCAAGTGTAAGGCGCAGTAGCCTCAGAAAGAGCTTTAAGGGAGTCTACTGGTTCAGACTCTAGTTACAGCCTTAAGGCCTGTACGGTACTGTAGCGGCAGGTGGGTGACTGCATCGGTAACGCAAACCACTTTCACCCAAGTAAACTGCCACACTCATTATTGTGAACTGCATTAAAGATTGTTGTGTATGCTCTAACTGTGTTGGTCGATTGTGTTTAGGAATAGACCTTTTTCTGTCATGTATCTGCCAACAAGCTTTCTTGCCCTGACGGCAGTGAAGTAGGTCTCTGTCAATGATAATGTCTGTACAAATTTTTATTTGCATAAATATCTGAAGCTGAGGCCTTGTAACTTCACTGGGGTTGGCTTTAGTAGGCTGGCTTTAGTGGGTTGCAGTGACATCTGATAAATGTCATGGGGTATCCAATTAGATGTAGAGTTGCTTTGAGAGTTCCTAATTCCACTGGCAGTAAATCTTTGGTTCAGATCTGGCTGGCACGGCTAAACAGATGTCTGTATATCTTTGGTGCAGATCTGGCTGGCACGGCTAAACAGATGTCTGACAAGGCCATGAACATAACAGCCCACACCTCTTTTGTCTTAGACTAGTCTAGATCTTGTCACCCCTATGCAGATGAGGCTGTGTAAAAATGGACCTGCACCTGCCTCTATAGGTAAATTGTCTATCTTTTGTAATTAGGTGTCTATAATGTCAAGTTGAGTACTACAAATTGTCCTATTTTTCTTGGAAATCTTATTTTCAAATTCAACCTTACAGGTGAGAGATTCATTATAAATGAAACCAAAACTCCAATGGCCGAATTACCACTTAAGACGCGAATGAATCTCCTTCCACTTTCTTCGGGAGAGATGCTTGGGTCAAACTTATTCTTGACTGAGCTTCCAGAAGGCACATGCTTACTGCCTTTGTGCTGTGAATCTGTCTATTTCTAGTGATCAATTATGCATCCAACAGAAATCCTTTTAAGCATGGGTATGTATATTATAGTTTATGAGTACCATATATGTAAACCCGCTGCTAAATGTAGGACAGAACTGGCTATGGGAAGTTACAGAACTGTGGCTTGCACATATTCTAATTGCAGAGGGGCGCCCAAACTATACATCCCGGTTAAAGGAAGAGGTTGGTAGCCTTTAGTCCGAAGGGTCCAGAGAGATTGATCAGCAGATAGGCTAAAGATGCTGCAGGCTAAGTCAGACCTCAGTATGCTGTCAGGTAATGAGCATACTTTGTATCTTTTCTCCAGGCTATGCCGGCATGGTGGGTAATGAACAGGCAGACAGATTGCCTGGATCTGCACCACTGGGTGGTAAGTTTGTACATGACAAGGCAGATCTGGTCAAGGATCTTTGGGAACAAGCAACAGAATCAGTATAAAAACAAGATTATTATGGCCTGGAGAGGCACCTGAGGGTCTGGATGGCTCACTACACTCAGAGGAAAAGCAAGACGGACATTTAACCAGATTATGACTGGTACCATCAGTATTGGAACTCTGCACTGGCTGCTGAAGATAAGGACAGAGCACACATGGAAATGCCCTGAGTGCTGTGATGTCAATTCTTGACTCAACTCAACTCCTGTCTACACTGATGTCTTCCAGTGCAGTGGACAACAGATGTAATCAAATGTAAAAACAGGCTGTGAGGTGTGTGCAGCGCCAATAAATATTAAATTCAAAATCCTAAATATTTATCATCGAACTGATGGAGTATTCCCCTAGGTTTTATTCTGGCCAAAATTGTCATGGTCAATATAAATTAAAACATATCCACACTCATCAATGACTTGGTTCCTAGCCACCAAATTATGGATGTATTTTAATGACAACAGATAAACAACAAGACACTGAGTCGCATGCCACTGTGATACTGATAGAACCAGACATATACAAAACATCCACAACAGGTAGTTGATTTCAACTCTGAACAGACATATAAATAATCTATTTTTAAAACTTCAAGTGAGTATCATGGATATGTACACAGTGGGAAGGGGATTTCTTCGTGGCCAGGTGATTTCTAACTGATATGATCAACATGTCCACCCAGGACTTTCGGCTCTCCTTTGATTCCCCCCCCCCCCCACATATTATGGCGGCCAAACAAATATCCTAACAGGGCCTCAGTCCTATGCAAAATGCGGACTTCCTCCGCCGAACACATTGCGACAAAACTAGGATTACTTGACAATTTCAAGACATGCAACACTGCAGACGACAATAGCAACATGGCGGGCAGACCGCGTTGTCCTCACCACAGACAGTATTCCCCGCGCCTCTACAAGCGCCGCGGATGGGGATCTAAACTAGATGCCTGGGACTAAGAGCAAATAAACTGGAGGAAGTTGCTTGAAATGTGGTAGATGCTGCTCGTGAGTCCCAGCCATATAGTTTAGCACCCCAATCCCTGCCGCGTGTAGCAGCGCTAGGGATACTATCGGCAGTGCGGCATAGTCGCAGAAACATGTCCGCAGTTAATATATCACTGAGACCCTGTTAGAGCATTTGTTTGCCCTCGATAATATTGGCCCATTATTCGGAGCCGATCCTAGTTTTGTCGTGATTTGTTCTTTGGCAGGAACTCTGCATTTGCATAGGACTGAGGCCCTGTTAGGGTATTTGTTTGGCCGCCATAATATGGGGGGAAGGGGGGGGGGGATCGAAGAAGAGCTGGACTTTCTATGACCGATAGACTAACAAACAAACATTCATTTCTGTCAAAGTGTGTTATATTTACTTCAGTAAAGAACAGACATACAAACAGACAGAGAAAGCAATGTATACTACTAGACGTAAATTTGAATAGAAAAACCACAAGAGCTTTAAAAGAAAATGCTGGGTTTGGTTCTGCAACTTCCTGTAACAGACATACAAACAAGCACCCTTCTTTGTCAAAGTGTGTGGATTATTTACTTGAACACAGACATACAAACAAGCAGTCGTCTCTGTCAAAGTGAGCGAACAAACGAACTTTAGTTTTAAAGGGTTACAAATTGAGCACGCAGGCCCATCTTGCATTCGGCCCTTCCAAATGCCCGTCTTTCACACTGCAGCTGTATTTTATCAAAAAGCATGTAATATTTATTTTATGCATACTATGAATATCAAAAAAGAGAAGAGAAAAAAACAAAAGAATGGGTGGTAAAATGCATGCACATGCACACTCGCATACACCCATTCACTCACACACCCACATACCTTCACACACACACACATAAACACACCCCATTTAAAGCTACATACCCACACAGACACGCACATTCAAACACACATACAAACATACAGATATAAAAGCAGACACACCCATAGAAACAAATGCAGACACATACACACAAACAGACATACACGCACATACCCAATCACACACACAGATACACACATACAAACCAGCATACACACACAGACATATGCACAAACACACGCAGACTCAAACACACACAGATACACTAGGAGACACACAAACACACACACAATTGCAGACACACACACGAGCTGATGCTCGCGCAGATACACACACACCCACATACACGCAGATACAAATACACACACACATTGACACATCCAGAGACGTACACAGATATATACACACAGAGACGCGCATATACACAGGCAATTACCCAGACACACATACACATACAGGCACATACAAAGACACACCCACAAACACAACAAAGACACACGCATATAAACACACGCAGGCAAACACAAAGCTATATACACGTGGAACACACATACAAGCAAAGACACGCACAGACACATGTAGACACAGATACACACCCACACAATACAAATATCCTTACACACAGAGATGCATGTATACACAGGTATTCATGTCAACACACAAATACACACCCACACAATACAAATATCCTTACACACAGAGATGCATGTATACACAGGTATTCATGTCAACACACAAATACACACAGGCACATACCAACACACACCCACAACAAAGACACACACACAGCCACACACACATGTGACATAGAACACACAGACACGCAAACACACACACAGATACTTTTTAGACACATACACACACCCACAGACACACAATCATACATACATAGATATACACACCCACAGACACCAAATACTAACACACGCAGACACAAAGATCCACAC